AAGTTTTAAACATGACTTCAGGGCAATAGTTTAAGGGATTCATCCACACTCCATGGCTCTAGAAAGTCTACAGTCCATGAATATTTGAAATTCTGTTCTACATTTTTCCTCATTTGATCAGGATTCTTCTATGAAATCTTTGATCAAAATGTTCAGTTATGATAGCCAGACATCATTTAGTTCTTCTGATCTCATGGAAGGTAGGTAGTTGTTCATGGAGGGAATTAGCTACACATTCCATATCCTCCTTCTATTCCTGACTGTCCTTCTTCCATTTTTGTTAATGGAAGAAATGATGACGTAAAAGAGCAGAAGAGAAGATTTCAAAGGGCAGGTTGAGAGGACAAAGCAAAGTTGCATAATGAAATGTGGAAAGACATGGAGTTGGAAAATCAAAGGGGAAGAACACGCTTGGTATATCTCAAGCTGAAAGAACTGAAGAAAAAATTTAAGCCTCAAGTTGCAATATTAAAGGATTCTAAGGATAAAATATTGAACAATGCAGGAAGCATGAAAAAAAGATAGAAGGAATGCATGTGGTCATGGTACCAAAAAGAATTTTTTGACGTTCAACTTTTTGAGGAAGTATCATATGATCAAGAACTGATGGTACTGAAGGAAGTAGTCCAATCTGCACTGAAGGAATCGGTAAAAAACAAGGCTCCATGAATTTATGGAATACCCATTGAGATGTTTCAACAAATAGATGCAGAGCTAGAGGTGTTCACTCATTCATGCCAAGAAATTTGAAAGACAGCTACCTGGCCAGCCAACTAGAAGAGATTCACATTTGTGTCCATTCCAAAGAAAGGTGATCCAACAGAATGTGGAATTATTGAACAATATCATTAATATCACACACAAGTAAAATTTTGCTGAAGGTAATTAAAAAACAGTTGCAGCAGTGTATTGCCAGGGAATTGCCAGAAATTCAAACTGGATTCAGAAGGGGACATGGAATGGGGATATTATTGCTAATGTCAGATGGATCTTGGTTGAAATCAACAAATACTAGAAAGATGTTTATCTGTGTTCTATTAGTTGTGCAAATGTATATGACTATGTGGATTGTAACAAATTATAGATATCATTGCAGAGAATGGCAATTCCAGAATACTTAATTGTGCTCATGAAGAACATGTACATAGATCAAGAGGCATTCATTCAAACAGAACAATGGGACACTGCATGGTTTAAAATCAGGGATGTATTCTTTCACCATACTTATTCAATCTGTATGATGAACAAATAATCCAAGAAGGGATTATATGAAGAAGAATGTGGCATCAGGATTGGAGGAAGACTTGTTAACAACTGCAATATGCAAATGATGCAACTTTGCTTCCTGAAGGCCAAGAGGACTTAAAGCACTTACTGATGAAGATCAAAGACTACAGTCTCAATATAAAGAAAAAAATCCTCACAACTGGACCAATAAGCAACATCGTGATAAATAAACTTGGATCCACAGTCAACGCCTATGAAAACAACAGTTAAGAAATCAAGTGACATGTTGCATTGAGGAAATCTTCTGCAAAAGACCTCTATAAAGTGTTAAAGAGCAAAGATGTCACTTTGAAGATTAAGGTGTGCCTGGCCCAAGCCAAGGTATTTTCAGCCATCTCATATGCATGTGAGAATTGGACAGTGAGTAAGGAAGACCACAGAAGAATTGATGCATTTGAATTGTGGTATTGGCAAAGAATATCATATGTACCATGGACTGCTGGAAGAGCGAACAAATCTGTCTTGGAGGAAATACAGCTGGATCACTCCTTGGAATTGAGAATGGGCAGACTTCATGTCTTGTACTTTGGATGTGTTTTCAGAAGGGACCAGTCCCTGGTGCAGGATATCATGCTGGGTGAAGTGGTTGTTTATTGAAGGGATTCTTCTTTCCCCATCAAATGGACTTAATAACCTTGTTCAAAATCAGTTGATCATAGATGTGTGGGTTTATTTCTGGAATCTCAATTCTATTCCATTGGTCTGTATGTGTCATGTTATACTAATACCAGTCTATTTTGAGTACTGTAGCTTTATAGTATCTTTTGCTATCAGGATGTGTGAGTGCTACTCTGTCCTTCTCTTTTAACATTGCTTTAGCTTTTCACAGCTTTTTGCTATTACATACAAAATTGAGGATTACTTTTTCTACTTCTGTAAGGAGGGCAGTTGGAATTTTGATTGGGATTGCATTGAGTCTATAGATTGCTTTGGGTAGTTTTGACATCTTAACAATATTGTCTTCCAATTCATGAACATGGACCATCTTTCCATTTATATAAGAGTTCTTTAATCTCTTTCAGCATTGTTTTATAGTTTTCATTATATAAGTCTTTCATATTCCTGGTTAGATTTATTCCTAAGTATTTTATTCTCTTAGATGCTATTGTAAATGGAATTATTTCTTTAACTTCTCTTTCAGATTTTTCATTGCTAGTATATAAAAACCCAACTGATTTTTGTTTTTGACCTGAAACTGCTAAATTCCTCTATTAGCTCTAACAGTTTTCTTGTGGAGTGTCTGACATTTTCTGTATATATGATCATATCATCCTCTAATAGAGATAATTTTACTTCTTTTCCAATTTGGATACTTTTTATTGTCTTACCACTCTGGCTAGGACAATATTGAATAGAAGCAGTGAGAGTCAGCACCTTTGTTCCCAATTTCAAAGGGAAAGCTCTGTCTTTCTCTATTAAGTGTAATATTGGCTATAGGTTTTTTGTATATGCTATGAATCATATTACAGAATTTCCCTTCTTTTCAAATGTTCTTTGAGGTTTTCATCAAGAAAGGGTGTTGGATTTTATCAAACTTTTTTTTTTTCTGCATTCATAGTAATGATCACATTTCTTTTCTTTTGCTCTGTTGATGTAATGTGTTACATTGAGTGATTTTCTGATGTTGAACTATCCCTGCACACTGAAATTAATCCATTTGGTCATGGTGTATGACTCTTTTGATATGCTGTTGGATTCGTTTGCTAGTATTTTGTTGAGTATTTTTGTATCTACATTCTAAGAGATACTGGTCTGTAGTTTTCTTGTGGTGTCTTTGTCTGGTTTGGGTATAAAGGTTATGTTTGCTTCACAGAGTAAATTAAGGAGTATTCCTTCCTTCTCTATCTTTTTGAAGATTTTAAAGACTATTGGGGTCATTTTTTTCTCTATATATTTTGTAGAATTCCCCAGTGAAGCCATCTGGCCAAGGACTTTTTTTTTGTTGGGAGGTTTATGATCACTGATTCAATTTCTTCCGGTGTTATGGATCTGTTAAACTTTCTATTTCCTCTTGAGACAGTTTGGGTAGATTGTGTCCTTCTAAGAATTTATTCAGTTTGTTGCTATACAGTTGTTCGTAATATTCTGTCATAATTCTCTTTATGTCTATCATGTCAGTTGTAATGCCCCCTCTTCCATTTTGTTACTTTGATTATTTTCATCTTTTCTTTCTTTATCAGTCTTGTTAAGTTTTGTCAATTTTAATCTTTTAAAACAACCAACTTCTGGTTTTTATCAATATCTTTATTGTTTTCCTGTCTTTGTACATATTTCTGCTCTGATCTTTTTTATTTCCTTTCTTTGGCAGGTTTAGGCTTAATTTGTTCTTCTCTTTTGTGATAGTTGGCACTGTGTGTCAACTTGACCAGACCACAATTCTGTGTGGTTTAAGCAATTGTGATGTGGCTTGTTCCCATGATGGGATCAGATGTATATGTTTTGAGCAGCCAATCCATTGAAAGGGAGTTTCCCTAGGGGTATGGCCTACTTCCAGTATATTTATGGACATCCTGAGAAAAGAGACACACTTCTGTGGATTGGGATTCTGTTGTGCTGCCTACAACTGTCCCTGAGCGAACAATCCACCATTTGGCCTGGAGATCTTGGATTCGTCATTTGTTGGAGTCAACAGCTGGTATACTGCCTACTAACCTTGAGCTCTTCAGCCCCTGCAGCTGTGTGAGTCAGAAAAAGCCTCCAGCTTGACATTTGGTACAAGAACTTGGGACTTGCCAGCTTCTATAAGTGTGTGAGCCATTTTCCTAAGATAAATTTCTCTTTCTCTCTCTCTCTATAAGCTTTACTGGTTTTTCTTCTTTAGAGAACCCAGTCTAACACGTCTTTCTAGTTCTTGGAGTTGTCAAATTAGGCTGTTAATTTGAGATCTTTCTTCTTTTTTACATAGGCATTTATTGCTGTAAATTTCCCTGATTATGGCCTTCATTGCATACCATAAGTTTTGGTATATTGTGCTTCTATTCTTATTTGGCTCTAGGAAATTTGTGATTTCTTCCTTGACCCATTAGCAGTTTAATAGTATGTTGTTTAATTTCCTTATGTTTATGTAATGATACATTATTTTATAAAGGGATAAGACTTTTTAAGGATCTTAAAAATAAAATAGGACATGTTATTACTCACATGTTTTTGTCTGCATGTTGTCAAGTCAATTTCAACTCATAGTGCCAGAATTGAACTGCCCCATAGGGTTTCATAGGCCATAAAGTTTATAGTAAAAGGAGATCTGGTGGTATAGAGGGTTAGGCATTTGGCTGCTAACCAGAAGCTTGACAGTTCAAACCCACCAGCTGATCCACTGGAGGATGATGAGGCAATCTACTTCCATAAAGATTTATAGGCTTGGGAACTTCTCTATGAGTTGAAATCGACTCAATGGAGTGGGTGGGTTTTAAACTTTCTGGAAGCAGCTTAACAGATCTTTTCTCCTTTGGAGCCACTGGTGAGTTCAAACCACTGACTTTTTGGTTAGCAGTAAAGCACTTTAGCCATTACACCACCAAGGCTTCTAAATAGGACATACACTTTGCAATTTTATTAGTCTTCTGTTCATCAGGCATTTTTCAGATCCATGTTGGACTTTGCCAATTGTACAATTTTGTGTAAGTTTTATGGTGGTAATATTTATAAAGCATTTTGTATTTGAAATTGGGTGTTGACATGATGAAGTATTTCTTGATTTCTTTTGCTCATAGCCTGTTGGCCCTGGAAAGTATGTGTTTGATACTGGATGTGAACAACATGGTGAATATCGCTTAACAGATGTGGTAAGTTGCAGAGTACACATCATTTCCTACGTTCATAGGTAAAAGAGCTGTTCAATTATAATGCTCCTATAAATTTATGCCAACTCTTGGGAACTTTTGCTTTTTTGTGTTCCTTCTTTATTTACATGCATTAATATAGAACTAAATTGCTAGAACTGAACCAGTCATTTTACAATTATTGCTGAAGTCAACATGAATTAGCTAATTCTGATTTAGGAAGTTTTGGACAGTGTGAGGCTCCTGGGTAGTACAGTTTTGGCTTGATGACTAATCTGAGGGTTGGTGGTTCAGACCCATCCAGTGGTACCATGGAAGAAGGGCCTGGCTATCTGCTTTCATAAAGATTACGGCCAAGAAAACTCTATGGAGAAGTTCTACTTTGTAACACATGGGATGACATTAGATGGAATTGACTCAACAGCATTTTTTTTTGAGGTCTTAGAAATGACAAAATATGTAACATGGTATCACCACAGTCTGTCCAATAAAGGTTAGCATTTCAGGGATGTAACTCACAAGATCCATTTCAACCCTTACATTTTTCTATAGATAGTTGGCAGTTGGTCTTATCACTGAACAGCATCATGAACCAAAACACAACCCCAAACCTGTCCTTTCTCCCTCACTCCTAATATTCCAGACTGAGTTTATGCAAACGTTAGTAAGTTTATATTTTTAAACTTAAAATAGGAAAGAGGTGAGGAGGAAGAAGAAGAGGAAACATTAATAACTGTCATTCCCAAATGGAAAGCTACCAAAATCACTGAGTTGGCCCTGTGGACACCAAAGATCCCCGAGGAGTCACCAGCTGCAGACACACTGCCTGGGCAAGAAGAGGCCCTGGGGGTTGAGGGTATGTATGTCTCCAGGTTCTTCAAGAAAAGACTCTGGGCAGATTTGTGCAAGAGCACCTTTGAGATCAGCATGCAAGGGTTAACAGATACTCCCAAGGAGAGGAGAAGAGGGAAGAAGTAGGGTCGATTGGATAGAGATGCAGGCTCTCTACCTCTTTGGGGAACTCCATGGGCAGGTCTAGGGATAGAGAGTTCTTTGTTTCCTTCACCTTGAACAGTGGTTGGCTGTGGGCCATCCAAGTACAATGTGGCCTTGGGCATGAACGCTGACATCAGCTGGTGACAAGTCCTTCCTTCAAGAAAGACCTAGAACACTTTTCCATGTCCATCAGAATGCTTTCTGAAAAGTTGTTCAAGTGCCAGGTAATATTAAGGTTATACTGGGTAGGATTCTTTCCATAGTAAGTGAAGGAATGCCAACTCAATTTGGCCAAAATAAAATGATAGTATTTATTGTTTCATTTAACTGCAAAGCTCAGGGTGGAGACATCTCCAACCATGGCTTGGCCAGGTCTCTGGATGGAGTCCTAGCTCCCCTTGGCTCCACGCAGTTCTGCTTGCAGCCTGTCTCTTCTCTTTAGAGAAGGAGAGGAATAGTCACCAGCTTTAACACATTTCCATCCAGTCAGTTCATGGGCCCCAGGGGCAGAGGGCTCTTCTTTCTCAATATTTTCACTAAACCCCTGGAATTAGATTTATTGGACCAACTTGGGTCACATGCATTTCCCTGAACCATATAGGACAACCATTCAGGAGGATGAGTGCTTTGCTGGCCAGGCCTAGGCTAGAGCTGGATTGACTGAAGGTGGGAGGGTGTCCCCAAAGGGAGGGCTTAGTGATGCTATCAGGAAGAGTAAGAGCTGGTTCTGGGCAGGCACCACTGTGCAGGTCTGCAGTCTACCTTGTACCAGTTTCTTCAGTTTTATCACCCTCTGATGTAAATCATAGGTTCCTGGGTGGTACAAAGAGTTTGCACTTGACTACTAACATAAAGGTTGGTGGTTCAAACCCACACAGCAGCACCTTGGAGGAAAGACTTGGCAGTCTGCTTTCATAAAGATTATAGACAAGAAAACCCTATGGAGCTCAGTTCTACTTTGTAATACATGAGGTCACCGTGAGATGAATCTACTCAGCAGCGATGAGTTTGGTTTTGTTTTTGATTGTATTTCAGGAGCAGAAACTGGGGAGGACACTCAGGTGCCAACGGATATTTCCGAGGGTGAGAATGAATCTTTAAGGGCCGGTGATGAGGATGGAGACACCACCAGGGAGGATGGCCAAGATGAGTTCCTATATGACACAGACCAGGGTGAGGACGAAGGTGATGGGAGTGAGTGTAAACAAGGGTCTGGTGGTGTAGTGCCTAAGACATTTGACTGCTAACCAGAAGGGTGGTGGTTCAAAATCACCAGCCACTCCTCGGAAGGAAGATTGGGCAATCTACTTTCGTAGAGATACTGCCTCAGAAATCCATGGAGAGGTCGCTATGAGTCAGAATTGACTCCACGGCAGTGAGGTGTTTTTTTTTTTTCCTGCATACTATGTGATGTGATGTCCTGGAGCAAGCCCATCCTAGGTCAGGCCCCAGGGACTCAAAAGGGCTTCTGAAGACACATCGCAAATTCAGTGTGGAATCTGTAGTCAGAAGGGTACTTTTCCCTTAAATACTCTTGCAATCTGCTGACTCTGGCAAGGAACCACCCAGGTTTGATGCCCACTGTTCTCCCTATGCCTTGATGATTCCATTTTGACTTCAGGCCAAAAGTCCAGTTAGAAATCAATAATACCGCTTTACTTGATTACACAATTTTTACCACAGCCCAACTGCAGAAGCATGATGAAGGGCTCACAGTGTAGCAGTGAATCAAGGCTTTGAATGGGTTGAGACTGATTCAGTTATGGCTGACACAGTGAAATCAGAACAGACCCAAATTTGTAAGATGTGAATGTACCGGAAATATAGCTGGAATGGGCAGGGACAGAGTACCCAGGAAGCAAGGACTTACTTGTGCTTACTCACCAATTTGTAGTGAACATGTGGTGAAAAACATGTGAAGCTGGTTGCAGTAGCACAAGTAAGTACATGCTTACCTTGCTTCCTGGGTACTCTGTCTCTGTCAGGGACTGTAAATTTGAAAAGAAACTTTGATTCTATAGAAAGGTGCTATGGGGTTGGGAGAGAGAGACAAATGCCAGCCATATGTAGAAGCAGAATCTTTGATGTAGTGAAAAAAATGTGAAATTGTTCACTGCAAATTAGTAAGTAAGCACAGGTAGGTCCATGCTTACCTTGCTTATTGGGTAATCTGACACTGGGAATGGGAAAAATTATGATAGAAACCCTGCAATAGGAGACTCAGAAGAGGCATAGGGAGCCCTTTCAGGAGCCTGATGAAGGACATTGGATTATTGCCATGACTGTAGAGCACAACATATATTCAAACCAGTGCAGGTGGCTGTGCTCTTTGAGCTGTTTCCTACTCTGTTGTTCAAGAGATTTGGTTGCCATGCAACGTGCACACTGCCCTTGTTTCCTGTTCTGGTACAAACATATTTTATGAATTCGATTCTGTTCCAGTTTCACTTTGCCAGCCAGGACTGAACTAGGAAGAACTTGTTTGAAATCCTGCAATGAACCTAGAAACTTCAGCCCCCAGCAAGTCATGAAACCTAGTTTTGACCTCAGGTCTGACCAAAACTTCAGTTCCTGGAAGCCTTAAAATCTTTCTTCAGAGAGAAGATTCACTTATTTTAATCCAGTTTCTTTTATTGGCTTTAAAGCTGCTATCTTGGTTAGGAAGGAGCTCTGGTGGCATAGTGGTAAGGCATTTGGCTGCTAACCAGAAGGCCAGTGGTTCAAACCCACCAGCTACTCTGTGGAAGGAAGCTTGGACAATCTATCTCCATAAAGATTTACAGTCGCAGAAATGCAGTAGTGGTCGCTGTGAGTTGGAATCTCCACAATGGCAGTGAGTTTGGTTTTGATTTATCTTGGTCAGGAGGGAAAGACGGGGCTCTTGGAACAGCTAGAGGTCATGAGCCCTCTGTGCTCTATCCCTGGTTTCAGATGGTGGTCACTAGCCCAATGGAATTTGTCTTTATTGTAAATTAAGAGAACGTGCATTTCCTATTCTTTTGGAGATGGTACCTGGAATAATTAAATCATGTAAAATGCTTCACATATACATAGATTTAGGTTTTCTTTGGCAGTAATTATCCTAAATACTATAAAAGTACACAAAGACCACTTGGTGTGTTCAGGGGTGGGAACTTGGTTAGAATCTGGCTTTCTGAGTTACTAGCTATGTGGCTTCTTACTTTCTTTTCTTCCCTTACCTGCATAAGGTGAGTAACAGCAACACCTCATGGAGGTTCAGTGGCAGAATTCTTGCCTTCCATGCAGGAGACATGAGTTTGATTCCCAGCCAATATACCTCATTTTCAGCTATCACTTGTCTGTCAGTGCAGGCTCATGGCTGCTACGATGCTGAACAGGTTTCAGCGGACTTACAAACTAAGATGGACTAAGAAGAAAGGCTTGGAGATCTACTTCCCAAAATCAGCCAGTGAAAACTCTGTGGATCACAATGGACTGACCCACAACCAATCATGAGGCTGGTGCAGGACTGGGCAGCATTTCATTCTGTTGTGCACTGGGTTGCCCTAAGTCAGGGGGCTGCTTGGATGACTGCTAACAACAACATCTCATAGGTGTAATGTCCAAAGAATTATGTGAGAATTGAATGAGCTAGCATACGTACGTACAGCATTTAAATCAGTGCTTGGCACAGTGATGCTCAATAAATTTTGGTTTGTATAGACAGCAGCTACCCTGTACCTACACTGCCTGCCCTGGTGGGCATGGAATGAAGAGGTACAATTCTTGTCCCCAAGAGCCTGAGGGGGAGGGTGAATTGGGAAATCAGTGATATAACTGCAATGTGATATATATATATATATATATATATATATATATA